GGAGAACCAGTGGAGAACTGGGCAGCTATCTTGGTGAGTGACCGGCGTTAGCTACAGAATGTTAGCTAACGTCACATCACAACATTGTAAAGTTAGCTATCATATATCAGGCTATAACTAAAGTAGCATTGATAATATAGTAACGTTACTGGCAGGACTGTTGATACTGATCCATAACAGAAACTAATGCGCAAGTATCAGCCGTATCTCGCGTTACCTAATGCAACTCCACACTACGGTGCTGTGTACCGGAGGGGGGCCGCGAGATACGGCTGATACTTGACGATCTGGCGGAGAAAGGTTGTGGAGCCTCCGTTGATATGTCGTTGTAAATGGCTTGATGGAAAGCAGGTGTGTAGTCGGGGAGGGTGCACAGCTGATTGCAGCAGGTGAGTGGAGGTTGAGCCAGGAGTGACAGCAACCACGCCCACACAAACAACACAGACAGGGGGAAACAAACAAACACAAAGGAGACGGCTGGAGCAGTACAGCCACCACAGCGTTACCTAATGCAACTCCACACTATGTCTTACGGTGCCGTGTACCGGAGGGGAGAGAGAGAGAGCAGCGAAGGGGGGGGGAGAGAGAAGTAATACGGTTTCCTGATAAAGCTGTGGAGAGTATGTGCTGGATGCACAACGCACCCAGGAACGAACGCTAGCTCCGGTCCTTTTTACTGTGGACTCGATGTTCTGACAGGCTGGTATTTGTGCAACCTGCACAAACACAATACTGCACCATGATTACAAATGGTGAAATACAATGTAAAACTACCGAAAAATACCAGCTCCTTAAAACACAACCGCTCTACTCAACGCAACTCTACTATACCCGCGGTTAGAGAGCGGAGATGTGTCCCCTGTGTGATGTAATATGACGCGTTTGATGTATGACCTTAAAAAAAAGCCGTTTTTAAGAGCAGAGCTCAAAATTGCTCCTTTCCCTCTGAATTCCTGCCCTTATGTCTCGTAAAACATATCAAATCCTGCATTCACTTTTTTAATTGTAATTTTCAAGCAAGTTTAAGCATAAATGTAGAAAAAATAAAAACCTGCAAGATGCTCTTTAACACTTTCAGACAGAGCTAATTTCCTGTTTTATTTAACTCTATTTGTTTCTGTTCTTCTGGTGTGCTTTTGCTGTTCTTTAACTGATCCTGACCTTCACAATTATCTACAGTTGGTCCCATTTATTCTCTCCTATTTTGTCATTGCCTGATATTGTGAATGGAGATGTTTCTTTCAAGCAAAACTCAACTTTCAATTTATAGTTTACAAATAAACTGCAATAGAAGAATACTTTGAACATTAAATTTTCTCCGAAGTATCTGAGAACCTTTTAGTGATAATCAGCAGTACATTCCTACAGGGGTCAGAAGTTGGAATGTAATGAAGTACAAAAGATTAAATAAGGACTTTACATCTGCAGCCTTCATGATGCCCATCATAGGGAAGAGGACGACCGGCAGCAATGCGGTCACGGCCAGAGGCATGCACTCTGTGCACCAGTACAGAGCCATGAGGATGATCGCATAACCACATTTGGCTTCCTGTAAACACACACACACACACAAACACATCAACAACACTGGTGTCAGAAGAAATTGGTGGGGAGGTAAAAGTGTTCAGAAGAGACAATCTGAAAATTAGTAAGGTATGGATACAGATGTTGGACAAAGACACACAAACACACACATATACGGAGATGTACACAACCTTATAAAGTTCATACAGTGTTTATCATCCTCTGTCTTATCTGCAGCCTCACTTTAAAAGGTAATAATACTTTACACATGCAGATTGCAGTAAGCGTTGATTGTAAAACAGACAATTTGTCATGTTCTTGTCTCACAATAGAGTTCTTTATTGGTCCTCCGTAAAATCACAGAGCGTTAAAACTACCCGACAAAAGACTTTCCACTGCCAATGTTCGAAACCCTCTGAACTCCTCACTAATGAAAGATGCTGCTTTTAAAAAGTTAATACATAAGGTATCATGCGAGAGGTCATTGTTGCAGCACACTGCAACAGTAGCATGTTTGCTTTACTTACCTTGATACTATAATATCTTTTATTACGTACACTTTTAACATTAAGTCATTTTTTCATAAAATAGGCGTTTTGAATGATATTCACCATTACCCTTCTTCTTAGAACGTTACTGGATAGAAGTAATCAACATTTTTAACTATAATAATTGTTGGGGAAATATTTTCCAAGGTCCATAACTTTGACCCAGTTTATCAGTTCATACTGTCCTGACTGAGCACAGGGACCTGTAACTTTGGGTGCTGTGCTCTCAGTGTTCTGTCTCCCTGTTCCTGCCTGTTGGCATCAGCTGATAGAGATGTTATGATTCTATCTTGTTATGCACAATGTTGATTATTCTCTCTGAACTAGCTAAATACATGGGTCTGGGCTAGAGTTCTTCAGAATTGACGTGGCAACTCTACCGTGAAGTCAGAACCTCTGGCTCTTGGACTTGTTTTGCGAATTCTCCGGGCTGGAGCTCCTAAATAAACCATCAGTGTTTGACATCAAAGCTCCTGCTCTCCCCGTGTCCCCTTCCTGAGTCGGTGACTCCCACTGCATTGCTACACAGAAGTTTTCCCCCACAATAATCATGATTACTATTATTTTGATTTGTTATTTTCATATGTTATGGCCATTTTACATCAATAATTTCAAAGCAGTTTATTATGGAACCATATGAAATCTAAAAAATGCTAACATAGAAACATAAAGATATGTTTACAGGCACAGGACAGTGGTTTAGCCATTGACTATATCCTCAGTGCCTTTGTGTTTTGCTCTCTGATCCCGTCATCCCATCTTTTCCTGACTTTTCAGCACTTTATTGGCTCTCTGATGTCCAATGTGGTTTGACATGAACTGCTCATTGTGCACACTTTTACCTTTGTCTCTCCTTCATCATAAAGCAACGATCCTTGAATACAGTCCATACATCGAGACAAGCACATGAACATGCTGATTGATGATTTATTTTAGTTTCAGTATTTAACACATGATGGTTAACATGGGGCACACTATCAAAAGGTCATTGTTCTTTTGCTAATCCTTTTTGGAATTTGACCCTAATCTTTCTTGGGATAAAGTTATTTAGACTGGAGACCTGATGAGTGATTAATGAACTACAGAACAAATAGCCTGCTTTCTTGTGTTTTAAGTTCAACCTTACCTTACATGTATCTGTGGCATGTGCTTAATGCCACAGATACATAAGATACATAAGACATATTGCTATAATGTATAGTAGTGTGTACCAAAATGAAGTTAAAAATGTTTTTCCAAAGGGAATGCATTATTATACAGTTTAAGAGAAGTAGAAACTCAGGGGAAGAAGTTGTGTAAAACATATTTTTTAACAGTCAAACGCCCCACTAAGGTTTAAGAATTGAGGTTCTTTCAATCTAGTCAATACTGATTCAAACCATTCACTTAGTAAAAAAGTTACCTGTGTAGGGATGACGAGTGGCAGAGGAAGCAGTGCCAGCGGAAGGACCACGATGATGATGTAGTTTCTGTGGTACCACATCCACCTTAAACAACTATTTATAGTTCTCCTGGAAGATCCCATGATTGAACCAGGGGAGAGTGAACTATCCACAGGGTCAAGACTTATTAAATTGAGCTAAACACATATGTCCCTCACAGAGACCCACTGAGGTAATGAGACTAATAAACCTGCAAACAGACCCTTTATATGTCTGGCAGCTTATCAAACATTAACTCAACACCAAAGGGATCACACTCATTGGCAGATGAAGCGATTGAGAAAGAGAGGCAGGCAATATTGGAAGAAAGAGGTGGAGGGACTGACAGATGACGGGAATTATAGTTTTCTCTCCTAGGAGAACAGATTTGTGGAGTGTTACCAAATGTCAGGGACGTGTAGCCTTGTGAAGAAAAGGATAAATGTTACTTCTTCTTTTTCAGGAGTACTAATGCGTATTTTAATGTATTCATTTCCTGTTGTCCTTTGAGTGTGTATGGAAGCGATGCCTTCTTTAACGCTAAAGTACTGAGTCTCCTGTCTGCATAATAGAGTTGCCTTAAACAAAAGAAACCTTGAACTTTGGACTTTGAACCCAAAGTCTGCTATAAGTTCTACAAAAGCTTCACTTTTAGATAAACCTAGGAATCAACAAAGATCACTTTAAGAAAAATGTCATGCACTTTATTGTTTCTTTTGAATTAGAGAACAAACTGTTTGTCTCTCTTTGTTGGTCTGACACGTAGTGGCAGGTTTGTGCAACTTAAAAAAAAGTTATAATCCATAAATATTTACTATTCACTCCACTAACATGGATTTTGCTAATGCGAAACCTTACTTAGTCTGGTATGAGACTGCTAGCTTAAGGTGGCTAAAATGTTGGCAATCTTGCGGTGTTACGGTCATTATTGAGTCATTTTCCCAGTTGTATTACTCTCCCCTCAATGGGCTGCTGTTACACTATTGAGCATTAATATCATCACAGTTACACACCAGAAATAGTTTGATACGGCTGATAGCCTTTAGCTTAGCACAGACTCTAGAAACAGCAAGCCACTTTATATCTTCTTTGTTTAATATATACAAAAATCAAAGTTTAAAAGGAGAATTTGCCATTTTCTGATAATAAACCTAACCCTGTAGTATTTAATGAGCTTACACAACCCCCGGAAACCACTGTGATCTCTCTGAGCTTTTATATCCTACACTTCATGTGTGAGACAAGGTCAGAGAAAAGTCTCTATTAAGTCATAAAAACATAAAAATAATTGAAACAAGTGATTATGACCTATCATGGAAAGCAACACAATTTCGAGACAGGTGTTAAGTGAATAAAGTGTTTTACAAAGTACAAAGAAGGCTATTAGAGTTGCATGTATTTCAATAAAACAAAATCTAACTCTATACATGGCACTGCATTGATGGGGATCTCTCTAATCTATAACTCATGGCATGTTTTTTCTTCTTCTCGTTTCTCTGAACACGAGAAGTCATTTCCTGTGGCTTAAGCAGTCATTTTTTAAACATTTGTTGTAATGTTTTTAAAGAGCTTAAAGGTTTGGTGGTCATCGTAACCCGGTCCCCTTTTCTTCACAAACCGCTGACTCGTTCAATAACTCGATTAATATTTGACATTTAAAGGTGCATGCCAATAAAATATAAACAGTGGACCTTTAAGTTGCTCCATAACTTGCTATATAAAGAATTATGAAAGGAGAATAGATATAAAAACGTGTATTTATGTCTATATCTTTTATTTTTCTGGTACAGGTTGTAATAATTCATCGCTCATTACATTTCCACATGAAGTGTCTGCACTGACACAAAATCATCCCTGTTTCCACAAAACCTGGTTTGTTACGTTTATTTTTGCACCATATTCAATTGGGTTTTTTACATTTTTGTAAATAATTTTAAAATCTGTAAAAAAGTGTAATCCATTACTTTACTTTAATCTTAATTTAATTGTTATGGAAACTTCTCATCTTCAACCATATTGACATCATATTTATCAAATCAAGTTGGGTGCAGGCCTCCTTGAGATAGATAATAATAATCAATATGTGTGTGTTCCTTTAAATTATCTTATAACATTGTATTAGATTAGATATGGCAGAAATCAATATATTAATATCTTCCCTCACTGATACAATCACCACTGAGAAATCAAAGTCCACCTGCCCTAATACTCACCACTTTCACTGCACTCCACTAAAACAAATACTCTTTTAAACACCCCTGACTCACTTCCCTGTGCTTCTATTAAAGTGTAGAGAAAAGCTAAGATACCAACGTTGTTAGGCTCTTTGACAGAGATGGTTAGTTTCCTTTTATCAAGCAAGATCGTTTACTGTTTAACTGATTGATGAGGAAGTAATACTATCTCTTCGATGTGTTTAATGTTTTCAGCCTCTAGGTCTCTCCATGGTGCCGAATCTGATCATCTATGTCATAGTTTTTTTTTTTTAAAGAACAGGCACTCCACATATTAGAAATATATCTTGTATTTTTGTATAGCAACTCTCGTTATCAAGGCTACATTTGGAAAAAGGCATTGTGTTTGCTTTAGGGTTGTTTTTTTCCATGACAGATCGATGAGAGGAAAAAAAGACAACCCTGGTTACACAATGTTTGAGCTCACATTCTCATTCCCTCATTTTACCAGAAGTTACATTTAGTTTACAGTATATACTGACTTTAAGAGACAAAAATACCTTTTCACAGCAGACAATTTGATAAGTCATTGTAGGAAAAGCACATGCATTGCAAATGGCTTTAAAGATGGCTGTAATATTCAAACTTGCCAGTGAGTGACATCATGCATGAAACCAGGAACCTGCTACAAAGAAACGTAACCGTAACTCATTTGTGTCATTACACCTCGGCGTTACAAAATGGTCAAAATGTCTTCATTAAAAAATTCTCACAGCACACTTCTGTTGTTTCTTGACTGGTTTACAGTTTTACATTTTAACACTTTTCCTAACTAAAAAGCCATTCAGTCTATCATTACAATAAAAA